GAGACCTTCGCGTTCACAGCCCCATGTTTGTTTTTTGGCACATACCCTTTCTCCCACTAAGATGGTTGGAAGCTCACTTTCCTCTGGGAATGGCACTTCTGGGAGGGCATCTGGAAGATCACTTTCCTCTGGGAGGAGGTGCCATGTTAGTGGGAGAGAAGGCAAAGGGCACCCTTTTTGGTTCGTAAAGGGAGGCCACACGTTTTTGCTTGTTTGTTGATCCTTTTTTGGTTGCACACGGAAACCGCCTTCTTCCCTCTTTTTTTTTGGAGGGGGGTTGCCCCCAAGCCTGCAGTCTTGTGAACAATTTGGACCACTTCAGGGTAGACTAAACATGGACCATACGCAGAGAATATTGTTTCTCTACCTCTTTTTTGTGGGCCAAGTTTTGCTGTGACAAGACACCTGCCTCAGACTGTTTCAGTGTGACTGCATCTCGGACCTGGCTGTTTGCATGGCGTTTTTCTGCCCATTTGGCAGGGGATACCACCCAAGGCAAGTTTGAAGATGCCATCTTTCAAGGGTTTCGATTGCTGTTAAGCGTGAGAGAGGGAGACAAAGCGAGCCGTTTTGAGCCCGTTCTTCCGGAACCAAGGTCGTTGCCCCACCAAAAAATAGTCCACAGGAACAAGCACGCTGCCCGGCTGCCCCCCCAAACAAAAATGACGCAACTTTGTGGAACCAACACCAGATTTAAACACTGACGCGACCATGAAACGCCTACAAGAACAGAAGGGTGCCCTTTAGTTTCCTTTTTAGCAAACCTAAAAAGGGGGACCAACTCCAAAAAGGACGCACTCACCTAACCCGGCGAGAGGTAATTCTTCAAACCAAGACACCCAGCTGGGTGGTTCCCAGCCATCCCCTTCGGTTGTTCGCTTCTCATTTTTTTCATTTCACCCACAAGTTAAGCACTCGTCGCACCCGAAAACGGACCCGTTTCAGGGGAAGAAGCGTCACGCCCTTGTGCTTCAGGGCCTCGATTTCTTTTTTTGGGGGAATCTTCAAACCAAGGCAAAGAACCGTGGCGTTTTTTCTTCTTTTTTTCCCCTCCATTTTTTGTTTCTTCTTCTTTTTGTTTTCCTTTTTTTTCCCTTCTGCACCGAGCTGGGGATGATATTTTTCATCATGGACCCGGTCATCCGAATGCGGTGGTTGGATTCATGTGCACTCACTTCGGAAAGAACAACTCGCATCAAGACTTGGACCCCCCGGTCAAGAAACAAAACTCCTGGCCAAAACTGGGCAACTCGGGTTTTCTTGGACCCGCCAGGCCCTCCACTGGCTGCCTCCCGCCCTCGCCGCATCGCTCGGATCCGGTGACTGCGGGCCGCTGGGCGTGGTGCTGATGGCCTGCGGGCGGCAGGCGGCGTGGCGCAGCGCGGCGGCGGCCGTGGCGCTGGGGCGCCGCGGACAGGAAGGAAGTGGGTGGGATGGTACCTAGGTACACCAGCAGTGCCCTTTCTCACCCTTTTCTTGGGGAGGGTTCCCCTTCTAAAATAGGCTACAAAAGAAAGTTGGTACCCTTATTCTAGCCTCTTTACTGGAGGACCTAGGTTGGTACTCGGGTGGGTTATTCATGCTTTTCTGGGTCCCCCAGCAGTGCCCTTTTACCCTTTGTTGGATGCTAGGTTCCCCAGCAGGGTTCCGTTTCCTTGGGCTACCCCAGAGTTGACTCAAACCCAGGGGTGGTTGATTTCCCCGCAAGGGACATTTCTGGGTTTAAGTCGACCTTGGGGTAGTCAAAAACGGAACCCTGTGCCCCAGCTAGGTGCCCTTCTCTCCCAACTTTTTTGGGGAAGGGTTGCCCTACTAAAATAGACTACAGGAAAAAGTTGGTACCCTTATTCTAACCTCTTTACTGGAGGACCTAGGATGGTACTTGGATGGGTTATTCATGCCCTTATAAGAAGTTGCTAACCCCATTGAACGGGGATTTTTAGAAGTGGGTTATAACCTTAGCAACACTTATTAACTTGGCAAATCGAACACCTAAGTACCTGGTCGGGCTTGTGAAGGGAAGCCCAAAGGAAAACCTAAAGCATTCTTTTCGTTGAACAGTTTCCCAGAGTTTGAGATAATTTTCTTGCCCGTTTTTGGTTGTTGTTGAAAGGAAATCATGAGGACACGGCGCCTCTTTTTTCCCCCTTTCCGCATGGAGTGTACTCTTTTCGGGTTGTAAAAGGGAAACCAAAAGGACACCGCGCCTTTGGTCCCAGCCTGTACCTTAAATCTCTGATCCGAAGGGTTCTTTTGATGTCGTTGACACAAAGAGGGGGGGTTGTCCTCAAAATAGGGGGGGCCCTAAAACATGGCGCAACGGGTTTCCTTTTGGTTTCCCTTTAAAACCAAAAAACATCAGAATCCGACAATCTGATTTTCCTTGGTTCTTTTCTGTTTTCGTGGGCCACGCCCTGGCGGGGGGGGGGGGGTTGGGGGGTGGGGTTGGGGGTATGGTGGACACATGAGATGATATGGGTTTGTCCCAAAATATGGGAACCCCCGCAAAATGGTGGTTTTCCAGCTGGTTTCCTAAACCGACTACCCTCACAAAAAGACACACCCATATTTGTAGAGTGCTTGATGGTTTGGGGGTTGAGCTATATCGTCAGTAGCCCTTAGGGTGTACTGGGGGCGTTTTGGTGGGGGGTGAGCTGGGGGTGGCTGATCAATTTTGCCTGACCAAAGCACTGCGGCGATCACGTGTCCCTCCAACACATGCCCGAGGGCCCTTCCAGATCTCTGGACAGGGAACCCAGGAGATCGGCAGTGGTTCGTGGTCGCCATCTCCCAATGTTGGGCAAACCTATTCGCTGTTGTGTGCCCAGCGGGTTATTTGCAGCCGCCGCGCTCCTGTTTCCCGAGTCCCACAAGGTGGGTCACCTGAGCCAACCCAGGGCGATTGGTACCCCCAGCCGATCGCCAGAAGGAATGCCAAAGACGATCGCTCAGAAACATTTCAGAAGGTTCCGCACGTTTCCTCCCTGGACTTAAAGGCCCCGACTTTACCACGTGGATCACCAGCCGTAGGCCTAGCAAGTCAGAGTGACCCCCAGGCTTCGTTTCCAGCTACGGGGCTCAAAGATATGGCGGTTTATTACTTATATCAGGGCTGCACACTGCCTTAGACTTGGCTGTTGTTGGGAAACATTTTTCTCATTTTTGCTTTTTGTGGTTTAGTGGTTGAAATCCAGCCACTTGACTGCTAGAGTTTGAATTTTTACTCCCCTTCCAACGTCAACCAAGTAGAGTCGCAATTGTCAGCCTCACCTCCAAAACTCTGGAAATGCAACGCCTGGATGCTTTCGGCCCGCCTTTTGGTTTCGCCCACAACCCCTCTCCCTCTCCCTGAGTTGCAGCCAACTGGACCTGGGCGGGTTTCCTGGGATATGTTCTTTTTCGAGCAAAACCGTGAAAGGCTAGATTTTCAGGGGACCTGACGAGGAAAGACGCCGGTCTGCAGCCGGACCTTCCCACCTGCAACACCTTCCTCAGCGTCTCTTCACTCTTGTTGGCATGTTTTTAGGTTTTGGGCTTTTGTTCTGTTCGTTTTTACTAGGTGGCAGCTTCTGGTTCTGTTCATTGTTTGGTTCCGTTCATTTTTACGAGGTGGCGTGTTTTTTTTGGTCTTTTAAGAATGTGGTTCTGTTCATTTTTACTAGGTGGCGTATTTTTGTATTTTCAGGTCTCTTGTTCCTTTCTTGATAGGGGGCTGCAAAAAGACACCGTGTTTTTTTTGCGGGTTGGACAGGTCTTTTCCGCCGCTTCCGCTTGGCGCGACGCGCTCGTGTCGCTCCAACACGTGGCGCGCTCGAAGCTGCGGCCCAGCACAGTGACGAGGAACGCGGCGGCGGCCGCGTGCGCGGCTTGGCGGGAGGCACTTGGCATTTTCCATTTGTTCGTGTTTTCCGTGTTGTTGTTTGGTGGTTTTGTTTTGTTTCTGGGCCTGGTGGTTTTTGCAATAGCGTTTTGTGTTTTTGAGTGCTTTGAGCCTGTCTTTGTGGCTTAAATTCCACAGATGTCTTGGAGCTTGGACCGCCAACCTTCATTGTTCTTGGAGCATGTCCGTGGACTCCTTTGCTTCAGGGAAATACCCAACAGGGTTCCATTTTTTGACTACCCCCAAGGTGGACCTTAAACCCAGGGCTGGTTCATTGCTCAAAAAAATCGAAGCTCTGGTTTAGGTCTACCTTGGGCTGGTCTAAACATGGCGCCCCGGCCAGCCATCCACCACACGGTTCCGTCGGCTTCTCAGGCCGGTTCCGGCGGCTGGCGGCGAGTGGCGGGGCTCTTGGAGAATTCGCGGTCGCGGGTGGGGTGCAACGTGGCGGCGGAAGCCTTGCGGGTGGCCAAGCGCTGGCGCCAGGCGGGGTATGGCTTTGGATCCAGAGGGGCGATCGATGTGGTACGTCAGGTCAGTGGTTAGGTCAGCCTGGTTATAACCCACTGAACGGAGACTTATGATCATGGCTTCTGTGGGTTGTAACCAGGCTTGCAAAGTGGCCATGGTCAAAACTCCTTTTATGGCATCTATGGTCAATGGTTCCCTTTCTTGGAATCACTGCAATGGTTAATTTAGTATCCTTACTACCAGATCCGAACCAATTGGGGCTAACCTGATTAGTACATAGTTAAAGTCGTAAGGCTTAAAGGGGGCGTTGTAAGTGGTGAAATGGGAGCCCCGGATCGAAGTGGAACCCGCTCTACTACTAGGCAAAGCAACCCGAGGCCCCACTAGTTGGAATTGGAGACCCCGGAATCAACATCAACCAGGGGTTCATGAATCCGGGGTTTTCATGTGCCAACATCGGGTCTTGGCCTACGAACAACTCCTTGTGCCCTTCCAGGCGCTGCATCTGGCAGCTCGAAGCGAGGTGTCCGATGTAAAGACCTGCGATGCGGCAATTTGCGCCTGCGAAGCTGGAAGCCACCGCGGAGTGCAGATGTGGCTCGGCAGCTCTGATACGCTACGATGGAACCAACCTTTAGAGTTGCTAGGTGTTGTCAGTAGTGCCCTTTTGCCCCTTTTTGGGGGAGGGTTCCACTACTAAAATAGACTACAGAACAAAGGGTACCCTTCTTCTAACCTCTTTACCGGAGGACCTAGTTTATGGTTGCATTGTTGGATGTTGGCTTTCCTTTTGGCTTCCCTTTAATAACACCACCAAGAAAAGGGGTACTGTACCCTGAAACAAAAAGACACACCCATGTTTAATACTGCGGATGGGCGAATCCATTTCGCACCACACAAGAAACCATGGTTGAGGCTATATGTTTCTTGGTACTTACAGGGGAATCGAATCATTCTAGGGTTTCTTAGGTGGTGCAGGATTTCGTCCATCCACAGTATGACCGAACCAAACTTTACAGTTGGATGTACTTCTCTTTTTGGGATGACCCAATTAAAAGGGGCGGTTTTTCTATTCGGTTTCCCTTTCAAAGCCAACCCCAAAAAAGGTACCCTTCGCCTCACAAACGACACCCGGGCACAAGTCCTATGCGGGTGTGCTAAACGGATTAACCCCCCTTTTGATGGGGATTTTTTGAACGTCAAGGACCACAGAGGCATCGTATCCGTTTTTCCTTCATGGCGAAATTTCAACATGGCTCAAGGGTTTTCCTTTTGGTTTCCCTGTAAAACCGCCAAAAAAAGGGGTACCCTCCAAAAATGGTGGTTTTCACTTTGGTTCCGCCTGGAAACCAGCAAAAAAGGGGGAGGTACCCGGCAGGACAGCTCACGGAGGGAAGAAGAATCTCGGGACCAGTCCCCTCCGAGTTCTGCTGCTTTTGACCCGGCACCGGCGGCTTCACTTTTTTTACATTTTGTTGGACGATTTGGTTTCACCTAGGGTAAGTACCCCGTTTATTTGTTTGTTTGCCTGTCTTAGTTGAACCGAGGAGAAATACATTGCTAGTTTTTTCCTTTTTTTTGAAAGCATGTTTTTTTTCAGGGTATCTACCGATCCCTTTGTAGTAAAGGGCCCACATCAAATACCCTAAGCACAGCAAGTCTTGGGTGTAGACTAAATATGAAAGAGGATCTGGACACATGATTTTCCGCGTGCCCTTTTCTTGTGTTGGCCAATCCATTCATTTTTTTGGACAACTGAAAGGTTGGACCTTGCAAGCTCTCAGCCTCGGTGTCCCTACCTGCTGAGTCATTGGCATAGGTGGCCTTTTGCAGAAATACCCGGGTGCCTGGGGCATAAAGCCCATCCAAACACCTGTCAACTCATCGATTTCGATCCAAACTCACCGATCAAAAGGACGATGGTTGCGAAAACCATTTCGCAGCGATCAGAGACCCAACGGTTTCGGATTCGACTCCCGCTGGTAAATACCAACCAACGTTGAGGTTTCATTCCATGGATTCATTTCATGGTGCGGTCTCGGATTTCGCACGCGTTTGGAGTTCGGCCAGGTTGATGGGCGAGCTGGACAGGTACCTTGGTCAGGGGCAACCGCCACAGTTTGAACCTCTTTCCCGAGAGGGTGTCTGTTTTGAGGCTCGGTGCTTTGTTTTGGTTTATTTGCGGTTTTAAAGGGAAACTAAAAGAACCTGGGGGCGATGCCCTCCGAAAGTAAGGAGCCCCCCACTAAAACCAGGGACCCCCCCCCCCCCATACTAATAAATCGGCATTATTCCTGGGTTGACATACAAACATTGCAGCCTCCGAGACCATTATCCCGTGACGCGCCATGTTGGAGGCGGGGGAAAACCATTGGTTGGGGTCGTCTTTCCTGTAAGGTTAACTTCGGATTAAGCCGGAGGACCTTACTAGTCCTGGGGTGGTCCTGTTGTTCCTTTTGAGTAAGGAAATGATCTATATAAGGGGGGTCTTCTCTACCTGGTAGGGCCCATCCCAGATGAATCCGAAGTTGGCATTGGCATGTCATTGACTGGGCCATTCCCAACTCTTTGCTGATACTTTTAGTAAGGACATGATCTATGCGGGGAGGACCTGCTGGGGCCCTCCCCCAGATTAATCCGAAGTTGATATATGCAGTTCAGTCAGACAATTCCCGGCCTTCGGTTCATTTGGGAGTTCGGGACTTGGCGGAACTCACCCGAACAACTCCAAGCACTCCATAACTTTCCTATGTCCTCAAAATGGGTAAATACGGAACAAAAACAGGTCTCTGCTTCTTCTTTTTCTTCAAATGATATATCATGGGTACTTTCTTGGGGTGGTTTTAAAGGGAGTTGGGAGGACCGTTTGACACATACTCACATCTGGGGTCATGGATGCGTGAAGCTAGGGACTCGGGTTGCGCGATCCAAGCCCCCTGCTGAGCCTTTTGGTTTTGCAGGTGGACCCTGCCTTCAAATGAGCCACGTGCTCAAAACCTGGGTAGATGAAGGTTAGTAAGGGACAATCCCCTTGTCATAAATAGCTGCGGATGTCCGCCTTCTTAGTTCTTGAAGCATGGTTCTGGGTCAACCATTTTATTACCGGGTTTTGAGCAAGTGACTCAAATGAGGGGCTGAGTCATTTTTCCAGGGAACACTAAGAGGCGGTTGCCGGAGGGGTCCTGGCGCTCCCTTCAAAATCGACCCCCAAAAGGGTGACACTTTTTGCCCATGAGTTTTCCTTTGGAAGGCTTGTTCTGAAAACAATACAGAACTAAACAGGTAGACAGTAGGGAATGACCCCAGGTGTTGAGAACGAAGGGACTCCACTAAAGGAAACCACCAGTTGGATGGTTTATAGTGGTCATTCCATTTCTCATTCCTGCTGAGAACCAGCAAAGTTTTTCCCCTTTTCAATCCTTGACCGCACCTTCCGCCGGGGGCCTCCAACTGATTTTCTTGAAGCGAATCATGTACTGATTTGTTTTTTTTTTTTTTTTGTTTGTTTAAACTCAGGCGCAGCGGGCTTTCCATGGTCACCTTGTTTCGGCAACAGAATTCCAGTGGCTCGATTTGTTTCTTCCCCCCTTTTTTTTCCTCCCCCTTTTTTCTTCTTATTTTTTTAATATATAATCTATCTGCTAGCAGTCGCCGGGTGGTTTCTGAAGAGGGTACCTCACCCACTTTTTTTTTAAGGGTGTGATATTTCTGACTCAAACAGAAGGCATTCACCCTGAAAAACCAGGCTCCAACATGTATTTTTGGAATTGGGGGAATCACGTTTTTAAGGGTATGATAATGATGTCAACCCCTGTTTGATGTCAAATGATGCCAGCCTTCCTAACAGAGGAGGCATTTGCTGTGGAACACCAGGTTCTTCTAAACACATCTTGCACACTTTGGCCCTCCCTTTCAATGGTGGTGATTCCCCACTAAACCCAGGGACACCCCCCATCAATAAACTGGGGTGGATCAATAGGGGGTCAACATTAGGGGGTATTTTTCACTTTTCGAAACGGGTCAAAACCAGATCTCACCCTGAGAAACGAGGCATCACTTGCCTGCGCTCCTGCGCCGCTTGCGAGGGGCGGGCACCCAGCTGCGAGCAGCTTGGGTGCTGCGAGAGCCCAAAAGAGCGGCGGCCGTCGTCCTCTTGGCCATATCTGGTCGAGTGGGAAGGTCCTTGTTTTCCCTCTTGGAGAAGTGAACTGTTAACTCCTTTTCTAGGGGAATTTAGGTTCTTTCCATTAAACATGGAAGTGGATTCTTCCAAAACCCTCTGATCGTCCACCTTCCACAATCCAGATTTGGTCTTTAAGGTTAGGGGGTGGCAGATCTTGACTTCCTTCCGCATATCTGGCTGTTTATGAAGAACCACAGTTCTTGGATGGTAAATGCCTTCGTTTTTGGCCAGGCATGACATCACACCCCAAATCAAACAATGGGCATTGGCTGTACGGGCCTCCTAGATTCAATGTTCCACCAAAACCAGGGACAAGCCCTTATCTTCCTCCGCCCTTCGGAGGAATCGCTGATCTTGGACATGTTCGCATTTGTTTTGGGTATGTTTTCAAATACCGTTTCTTTTTTTGTTGCCGTCATATTCTTTCAGGTTGGGTAGTTAGCGAACACCCCCTCATTGACAAGTTTAGTCGTAGTTTCATGGGGGTTATAAGAAAACCTACTTGGGTGTTTGGCCAAGTCAGAAGGCTGCTGGCAACCGTAGATGAATGGAATGGGTTCGTAAGTTCTTGGTAACCGTTCGATTATAACCCACTTATCAGTCCCCGCGTTCAGTGGGGCTGACCTTGTTTGAGTGTGACTCACCCCAACTGGCGATCCAACCATTTACTAGCTTGGCGAATCGAACATCCAAGTAATGTTAGCCCGGATAAATTAACCCCTGGTTGATTAATAGGGGGTGTCCCCTTTTAGTGGGGATTCATCACTTTTGGAGGGATCACTCCTTAATAGTAATGGAACGGGTTTATTAATCCTGGGTCAACATTCCATAAACTTGTAATATTTCATTACCGCTCTGCGCTGCTGCTCACTTCCCCTCCCCAGCTGCGGCTCAGACGTTGTCTCCCCTTGCTGAAACCATCGAGGAATCACCAGATGTGAATAGGGCCTTTTTCGGGAATGAACCGTTTCGTTTTTTTTCTTTCTTGAAGCTAATATGGTTGCCGTTCAAACTGCCACAGGCCAGCCATATGGGCTAGAACCCGAGCGGTTGCCGACGACTTACGAACTTGGTAAATTGAACACCCAAGTATCGAGCCAGTGAGCCTTCGTGGAACATTGATCCCATGCACAGCGGCGGCGTCATCGCCTGCAGTCAGTCCATTACCGCCGCGACACGGAGATCCGACGCACGGATGCATTTGGTTTCAGAACACACAGGTTCAGCCGGCTTTTCATTTGGTATCAAGTTTTGTTGAATTTGGCAAAAAGTAAGTGGGATCACAACCGTATGTGGCGATCACCCCAGTATGTTCTTCACGGGGTTGTGGGGTATGCGGGACTGGTAGATGGGCAAACCATTGGGTATCAAGTGGCCCCCCAAAAAGACTCGAGCCTGCCTGAGTTCACTTGGGTTTGGTTGTCATTTTAGTTCAGACTTGTTTTTTGGCCAATCTACTCAGAAAGTCAATTTTTGAGCTTGCTTGCTCTTTGAGTGGTAGCTCAAACAAGTTCCTTCATTTTTTATTGGCGCATCCACTCGTGAGACAGGGTACGCCTCAAAAAAGCGGACCACCGCAAATTCCACGCATGCTTCCTTTTCTTTTCTGGGGAGGACTACTTAAAGGAGCATTGTACTTAGCAAGTAAGCCTGGTTATAACCCACTTAGGCGAATGGAACGGGTCCCCTTTTTTCGGTACTTGGGTGTTCGATTCGCCAAGTTAGTAAGTTCTTGGCAACCGTTCGGTTATGACCCACCTGAAAGTCCTCCGTTCAGTGGGGTTAACAACTTGCAGGGGGTGAACCCCCCAAATGGCCATTTCCACTTGCCTAGAGGCCCCCTAACCGGGGTTAACCTTGCTTTTTGGGGGGTATACCTGAAATGGCGATCCAACCACTTAACTTTCCGAATCGAACCTCCATGTAAGAGACCACTTAAAGGGGCATTGTACTTGGTGGTTTTTGGCCCGCTTAGAACCCAGGATGAATGGAATGGGACCCACCCCTTTCTTTTCAGATCACCCGAGTCGATCACAGGACCCCCGCTCAGTGGGGTCAACCCCCCTGGTTTTTTCTTTCCTTTTTTCCTTGGATTTCTACCCCCTAGCGGCGATCCAACCACTGAACTTGGCGAATCGAGCTTCTCCTTCAGGGAGACTCACTCAAAAGTAGGTTATACCCCCGATGGCGATCACCACTTCCGTTCGCTTGGCGAATCGAACGTCCAAGAAGATATGCTTTATTTGCCCCTGTTTTTAAATGGAATTTATTACTGACATAATGCTAAAGCTGACATTACATACCTTGGACTGAACATAGGTGTCCAGTTTGGTTAGAAGTAGATGGGTTCCACTGGAGTAGATGGGATCACCCGAGTGGATCATCAGCCAAGTTAATAAGTTAGTAACCTGGGCTATAACCTACTCACAGCTGGGTGCAACTCACTCACTACGAAGAATACAGCACCCGCCCCTTTACTCGGACCCGAGTGGAGCCCAGGACTGGCAGCATGGCCTGGAGCTCTTCGCCGAGCTCCGCCGCGCGCAGTCGGAGCTGGACGTGGTGGCGGGCAATGCCCAGCTCGCCGCCGCCAGAGGCGGAGGCGGAGGGTGGATGTGGTTGTCAAAACCGTTTTGGGATCCGATTTTGGTTGGTAGGTGAATTCGCCACCCATGTTAGAACTTTGTTGGTGGGGATTGGGATGTTCACTGGGGGTACGGGATTTCAACCCATGGCCACGCAAAGGTTTAAGGAAGCCTAGAGGAAAGCCGAAGCCACGATTTTGGAGAGAGATACCCACTCTTTGGCTTTCAGGTTCCATGATTGTGTGTGTGTGTGTGTTTTCAAAAATGGAACCTGAAAGGGACCACCTGGAAGACCATTTCGGGGAGATAACACAAGGGACCCTCTTTCAGGTTCCACGATTTGGCAATGAGCTGACAGAGGGTGGTGTTTTGCAGCTTTTTCCTTTCCCAGCATTTGGTTCAAGGCTTGTTGCCTTTGCCCAAACGGCCGTTTTTTTTCTTCAAATGCCGTGTTTGCATTCGGATGACCAAACCTCCAGGGTCGAACGTCATTTGTCAGCTTTCCATCAGGAATCCTCAGAGCCCCGTGCGCATTTCAGGGAAGGTCCATTAGATTTGGGTATGGGTCAAAGATTAAGCCAGGGGACTGCGGGTTTTAGTCCTTTCCATTTACGAGGTTCTATTTTGGGCACCTATTTTTTGAAATCCATTTTTTTCTTTTCTCCGCATATACCAGGCAAAAAGGCGGGTATTTGGGAGCCTGGAATAGGCCCATGACCGAGACAGCAGTTGCCCCACCCCTTACTTCTCAATAGTTTGGTCCGGCAGGTGTGTTTTCAGTTTGAATACCCGGAAGCAACGCTGATCGCTCCATCAGGCTTTGTTTTCAGCACAAATTGTCAGGGGTGCATCCACAGGGGTCGCTTCGAAATGAAGCCTGGGTCACAGCTCCAATTTGCGCATCCCAGCACACACCCGTTGGGTGGAAACCATTCAATAACTTCTTCCTATGTTCACGACCTCACATACCCAGTCAGCATCCCTCAAGAGGGTGCGAGCATGGGAAGACACACCCCCGAAACGGAGCTTCGCGGAACATGTTGCTGCATTGTTCTGTTTGTTTTACCTTGAAACCGCGTTAAAAGAACCTGTGCTTTTGCGCCTCAAGGATCTCTGAACGCGCTTCCCTTTCAGCCCGACCAGCCGAATCTGCTCTCAGCCACTCCAACCGCTCTGCCGCTCTCAAGTTTCGCTTGGGCCTCTAGACTCATATTTGAGTGTGTCTCTTTTTGAGTTGGCAGTCCCTTCTTTGCCGTGCTTTTTTAAAGGCAAACCACGCGGAAACCCCGAGGCCCGGCCGTTTCGGATTGGGTCAACGATCCTCCACCTCCAGCCGAGCCGCGCGCCCGCTTCGCCGGCCGCTCGCTCCGCGAATCGGAGGCTGGCGCCTGGCCGTCGACCTCCGCGCGTTCCGCGCGCGGAGCTTGGAGCCCTCGGTGGTCAGCTACAACACGCTGGGCGCCGCTGAGGTCGCGGGAGGCGGGAGGCCTCCTGGCGTGTTTCCCCACCAAAAGTAATGATGCCCCGTTAAGCATGGTTTTGTAGCAGGATTTCGTCCATCCACAGTACGACTGGGGTCTCCTCCCTCAAAAAGGGGCGAACCGCGGTTTGGGAAATCGCTTAGTCCTTTGCTTTCGGATCCCGCGGCCCAAAATCTTCTAGGGGACGCTTCCATTTCCATTCGTAAACAAGGATCCTTTCCAGGAAACCATCAAAAACGCAGAAAAAGACGGCGATCGGTTTTTGAGAAGAACGATGGTTGAAAAGAATGGGGGAAATCAACCCCTGAGCCTTTGTATGACCCCCAAAGAACTCAAATCATCGGGTTTGGGACAGGGATGTTGCCTCCAGTAAAGAAATCGCTCAGCCTCCCGCAGGAAGTACCCTACCTTTTCAAACTTCCCACAAAAACGAGCCGTCCGAGGGTAAAGTTCCCAATGTGTGCTGAAGGGCAGGGGAAAGGGTTCGGCAAGGTAGCTACGACCCTCAGACCACAGGAGTTGCAAAGGGAAAACATACGGTGGATGCCCTAAACATATTGCACCGCCAGGTGTTCTCGCCAAAAGTGAAAAAAACATCTCTAGACTGGGACGCCGCTCTTAATCATCAGTTGCCAGCGCGCCCATTTTCCCACCTACGTTTTTCTTGTCAAGGGAAACATTCCTAATGTTTGCTGTCTGGATTCCTTCTCAAACTGTCCCAAGACTCACTTCCTGAGTTCTTGGACTTAAAAAAACACTTTTGGGAGCAAATAGACAGTTTGGTAACATGATGTGTTGAATTCTCAAATTCCGAGTTCCGGGACTTTATACTTGTTCGCTTTGGACCAATTGAGTGGGAAGCCAGTTTCGGAGCCTTTTTGGCCCATCCACATCGGAAGTGAGACGCGTCAGCTTTACCCTTTTCCCAAGTTCATGAAGGTGGGCAGAGTGCTTCCGAAGGAAAGCCTTCTTTATTCTTCTTCTCCAAATCCTCCGGCCCCAAAAAGCTTAGGGATGATCATAGGATTCAAATCCTGTTCCCCAAAAGACCAAGCCCGCCGGTTTCCCCCAAAAGACCTTTTTCAACCAGCCCAAGGGGACACCGGCCAGGAGCAACATAGTGCAAGCAAGGCGCAGCACAACAGTGGCAATGCAAGCAGAAAAGGCAGATCGGGGAAGGACTATTCGTTCTGCAATGCCCACCTTTTTAAGGATGTCAAATGTCAACCCCTGACTCAAAAGTGGATGTGTACGAGGGACACCCGATTCTTCAAAACCATACCAACCAGCTTGGATTGGCTGGAAAGCAATCATCTTTCTTAAACATCCAGATCTCCAAACAAACGTATTTTGTATCTCTATCTCTCGCGGGAATGTCAAAGTCGCCAACTTCGAGATTCCTTTGGCTTCCAATTAAACCAAAGAAAGCCACCACCGAACCGGCGCGCCTTCTCCCCGTAACACCAACCCGTCGAGGCCGGTGGCACCATGCCTTGGCGCGGCTGGCGACCGCGACCCGCTTGGACGCCTTCAATCTGAGCTCCTGCGCCGGCAAATCGCCCTGGCGGCGAGCGGTTTGTTTGCTGCGAAGTGCGGAGAGGAGGCGCGGGGCGCGGGGGTCCCAAAGCTTGCTCACAGATCTGGGGTAACCCGGCACAGGTGGACACTCTCGAATCTATCCAGGTCCCCCAGCTAGGTGCCAGTTTTTGCCAACTTTTTTGGGTAGGGTTAGGCTGCAGAAAAAAGGGTACCTTTATTCCAACCTCTCTACTGGAGGATCCAGCGATTGTGGTTTATCATGGTTTTGCGGTTTTGGCTGGTCTACTTGTAATTCCCGAGCTTTACAAAGACTCTTGGGGAGAAGCTGGGCTGTTGGTGGAAAGAATTCTTGATTATGATCATGTGTGTAGGTTTTTTTGTTTTGTTTTTGTTTTTTAAATTTATTTAAAGCAATACAAGGTTTTGATCTTGACTCTAACTGATCTTGGGCAAGACGGACCATGGGCACTGGGAGTCTGAGGAAACCTGGTGAACAGAAAACCCTCGGTGCCAGGGGGACCCCGAGTGGCGTCTGCGGATTTGGGGATTGTTCTGGATCTCTCGTTCTTGACCGCGCCAAATTCCCAAGGGTCGAATGGCGGTGCCGTTGTTTGGGAGGCTACCCTTGATTCTTCAAAGGGAAACCGAAGCCCAAAGCAAGCCACCCAAGCTATGGTGGTTTCCGACGGTCCAAGACCAGGCCCAAGTGGGATCGAAGGCTTCGATGAGAACCCTCTCCCCGAAGAGGCGTCTGGCATTGCGGGTGGTGCGTAATGCGGCACTGGCCGCCATTTCCGCAGCGAGCGAGGAGACGGAAGGCGAGGAAGGCGTTGCCTTTTGCTTGGAGACTTCGTTTCTGACATGTCGGAGTTGTGTTTTGGCTTTCATTTAACGGATTTAGAAATAAGAACCCAGTAATGTCTTGTTGGCGGATTTCGAACGCCTATGAGGGTTCTTCAGGGAACCATAGCCATGATTTGCGGAATGGGAAGTCATGGATGATCCCTGGTTGATTGACGAGGGGCTTCTCATCTAAAGGAGAACTTACAACCCTTGTTTTCGTAGGTTCTTCGGGGAACCCAGCATTTTGGGCAGAGGCCCCATATTTGTCCAGGAGGTGCTTTGGGGGGACCCATGGCTGGCAAGTAGAACCCACTTGGTCCAGTTGATGAATCAACCCCTGGATGACCCCTCTGAAGACCCGCCATTGTGAGGGGCATATTTTGAAGAAGGGCTTCCATCACAAGCACCTCTCTTCCTTTGGTGGAACAAAAAAACGGGCCAACGCCGGCCCTGTGGGCATTTGTTTCAAACTTGTCCGCCTAGAATGGCCAAAGGTTTTTCCCAAGTTTTGGTTCCCCTTCACCCAACCAACTCGCTCCCTGAGTTCATGATCTTTAGAACCTTTCTGGGTTTGGACCAAGGATTTGGGGAGCTTTTGGTAAACTTTCGTTTGGGTTTGGACCATCCAAAGTTCAAAGTTTGGCAGCTCCTCCTTTTTTCTTTTTTCTTTCCCCTTCTTTCTTCCTTCGTCCACTCGTCCGGGAAGCTCCAGCCTCGTTCGCTGAGCCCAAAGAAAGCCGGCGTTTCGGGGGTTGCCACGCGCCTGCCACGCGCCTCGCTCACGCCTCGCCTCTCGGTCTCTCGGTCTCAGGCGCTTGGCGCCAGGCGCTGCGGCTCGGGGCCCAGGCGCTCGGCGACGTGGACGGCGCCGACGGGGTCACGGGGAACTCGGCGCTCAGCGCCTGCGAGCGCGCGCGGCGGTGGCGGCAGGCGGCGGGAAGGGGTTGGGGAAGGGGGGGAGGGGGTTGGAAGGAGGGAAAAGGCGGGGAAGGGGCGCGGATTCCGATGGAAGGTTTGCTTGATTGGTGCAGATTCCTGCCCCCGACTCCAAACAGCGCCTGACTAAACAAAAAGGGAATTTGTATTGGCAACAGCTATTCTTTGAACAAAAACACTCTGAAACAGGCAGGTGTTGTTCGGTTCTTTTTCAATTGATGAGTGCAGTTCTTTGCTTTTCAATCCCCCTCCCCGCGCTGGACATGAATTTCACTTGGCACACTTATTGATTTGGGCTTTCCATCAAACACCATCCAAAACAGGGTTGTGGGATCACTCGGGGTTTATCCAACCACTGTGATACTTTTGGGAATCCCCTCTTTGCATGGGTGGTTCGTCTTTGGGAGGCCCTTTTTGTTGTATCGCAGTAGTGGACTCCATTTCCCACAGCCCCCCTGATCCAAAAGGATGTCCTTCTCCGCCTATACAGCCGGTTCAGGGCAGCCCCATCAAGGCGTGGCAATAAACCAAGCGACATCCACTCATGTACGTTTCAGTTGATAATTCATGCGTCCAAAGTTGGCCATGGGGCATAACCTATGGCGCTCCCATTTTGGGGTGCTATGGCTGCTCCATTGTGGGGTGGAACATCCATTTGCCACCTATTTTGACGCCCACAGCGCCCTTTTGGGGTGATCAGGGCACACCGGGCACAGCGAAACCTTAGCTCTTGCCGGAGGCAATGGAGCTCCTGCGCAACGTGCGGCGCAGGAGACTATTGTTTTTGAGAGAGAGGGGCAGGGAATTTCAGGGCTCCGCAAAAAAAGATCTCCATTTTGCCACCATTTGAACCATGCGGCAATTTTTCAACACCAAAGTAAAAGTTGAAACCAGCATTTACAAGTTGCAATGTTCAGGTGTTTCTATTGCATCCGGATCCCGGTATTTACGGCTCGCGCCACGGCCTGTTGGTTTCAGTGTACGGCTCCCGCGGGTTTGTCTTTTGAGGAGGAGAAGTGGCTTCAAAAGTCTTCCCGTCAAGACAATTAGGCAACTCCCAAAGCAGGTACCCTGAACAAATTGGCACAACCCATATGTTCCCCTTAAAGGCTGGTTTAAACTCACTTACCCTCCCACCAGCTCACATGGAAGTGCACAGACCCCTGTAGAAAGACGACTTTCCTCTTGGTTAGCGGGCCTTTTTGCACTTCCTCCATGTTAGTTGGTGGGAGGGTAGCCTTTGAGTGAAGAGCGCAATTTCGATGGCAGGGTGAAGCGGGCTGCCTTAGGAGCGGTTCATTGCGGGTCTCGCTGCTAAGCCCAAAAACACAAAGCCCTGAGGACATAAGTGTCCTTTCAGGTTAGTTTGGTTTCCACTGGTTTAGATGGGGCTTGTTCCAGCAACACCATTGAAGCCCATCTACTTTTTTTCAAAAGGTCACGTATTCCTGAGGAGATTTGGCAACATCATCTCCTGCAACGCTGCCATGAGCGCTTGCCAGAAGGTGGCCCGCTGGCAAGACGCTGTGCTGATGCTGGTGGGGATCCAGCCGACAGCCATCAGCTACAGCACGGCGGCTGGGCCGGGGAGTATTGGTAGCATGTTGCATTTTGATGTGGGCGGACCTCATTGGGATGTATATCACGCGTAGGTCCCCCAGTAGTGCCCTTTTCTCCCCTTTGTTGGGGGAGGGTTCCCCGACTAAAATAGACTACAACAAAAAGGGCACCTTTCTTCTAACCTCTCTACTGGAGGACCTAGACGCTTTGTGAATACTGCGATAGAACACCTACCAACAGTTGCAGGATTTATCCATCCACAGTATGGATGCTTGTGCACCATAAATATAAGCTTGTACTGACATGGTTTAGACAGCACACGCAGGTGGACATGGAACTTACGCTGTCTTGTGAGGAGTCTTCTGGGAATTGAACCCAATTCCTTTTTTGGGTTCGTGAACATTTGACTGGCCCGAAAATAGCGAACATCTAGAGGGGTTCTCTTTTTCGTTGGGCTGGGGGAACCCGTTGAAACTCTAAACCGAATGGTTTCCCAGGTTCCATGTCAAAGTGGATTGTGCGATTTGGAGTCTCCCTGACCCTTCAAGAATGAGCCCGCGATTTTTAAGGGTCATGATGGAGACTCCAGGGTTGAACCTTTGAAATCAAGTGGATTCCACCAGATTCTTTGAGTTTGGAAGAGCTAATGAGCTACCTGCCGGCCTGCCAGGACGCTTCCCCACAAGGAAGGTAGTCTTGCATCTCCCCCCAACTAGCTCTCCCTTTCGAGGGAGACGGCTTGAACCAAGCCTCAAACCTTGGGTGCAACCCCAGTTTTGAGACCCAGGTTTGAACCCCAGGTTTAAGCCCCAGGTTTAAACCCCAAGGCGCTTGAACTCCAGGTTTGCGCCCACAGTTTGAACCCAAGGGGCTTCAACCCAAGGTTTGAACCCCAAGGCGGCCAGCGCCTGCGAGGGGCCGATGTGGCCCCGCGCCCTGCGCTGCTTCTCCGCTTCGCCCCGCGCGGCGCTCAACGCCGCGGTCGCCGCCGCCGGCGGCGCCGCGGACGCCGCCGCGTGGCGCCTGGCGCTGCAGTTGGCCTTCGCCGCGCCCAGCGCGCGCTGCGCCACGGACCTGGTGACGTGCCCCGGGTTCAACGAAACCGGGCTCGAAAACAAACGGAGACGGAGGTTCGGAGATGCAGACCGCGTGGTTTTTTAGACTGGTTCGGAAAAGGGCGTTTGGAGGTCGTTTTTTTTTTTGGGGAGTTTGGAAGGGTTTAGGATATGCCACCGTCATTTTTGTTGTAGGCATACTTTTAGAGATTTGGGGTTTGGAAGGAGTTTGGCATCGCCGAGCAGATTCACACGCATCTCCAAAACGGGCTCAGATTTCGAAGGGGTTGCAGAATCGAAGTGGGTTGGTCTTTGTTTTTGAGGTTAGGTTCACTTTTTAGGGTTGGTTTGGAGGGAAAGTATAAGGAACACCCACCAGATGGCAGGTCCAAATCCGTATTTTGAGACATAACTTTAGGGGCTCAATAGTTAGATGGTGCTCTCCTGTAGTCGTGGCCCTGGTTCTAGCTGCACGCACTTCCCCATTCTCTTCAGGGATCCTTCTGTTCAACAGTTGGCCACCCCCCCCGGAAACATGTGTGGTTTCTAGAGAGAGCGATGGAAGAGAATGGAATTGGAATCAACCCCCAGAATGGTTTTTTGAAGAACCCCACAACCCCATTCTGATTATTGAGCAGCCTCTACTACAACCCAAGTCTATCTCTGGGTTCACGTCCGGGGCATTCCCCGACCCCCAAACACACCTGCTTGGGAAACACTAACATAGGTCAATTTTGGTTTGGTGTGCTTGGGGTGTCCATACAGAAAAGTTTTATGGACCCCCTTTTGGTTGGTTTTAAAGGGAAACCAAAGGGACATCAGCCACTTGCGGAGTCCCCTAGTTTTGAGACAGAAGCTTCTGGCCAGGTTGGCTGAACCCCCCCAAAAACATGGACCGTACGCGGGGCGGGGCTGCTATGGCGGGGTCCTATTTCTGGATAAGCCCAGGATGAGGCAAGGATAAAGCTTACTACGGGGTGAAAAGGGGATGGCCGCCCTCCCCAGTTTGCCCCCTGCCATAGTGTGTCTGGCAATCTAGATGGGCTCTGGTAGATTGTTGTAAAACGCCCAGCGCCATCTATTTTCTACCACCAAGTTTTGGGAACCCCCGCCCGAACCTCCCCCCCACCTCATCTCCAGGTACAACGCGGCTTTGAGCGCCCTCAGCGGCAACGACAACGCCGCGTGGCGGGCCGCGGTGGGTCTCGGCGGCTTGCGGCCCGATGGCATCTCGCGTTCCGCGCGGATCAGCGCAACACAGAGCTGGCGGGAGGCGCCCGAGTGTGAGCGCGAGCGCGAGATTTGAGCGAGTGGGTGGAGGGCGTGGACGGGTTGTCTCAGTTTCGGAGTTGGAGGTTAGCCACTTTGTTGCTGGTTGGACCATTGTAGAGGGTTTTCTCAGTTCCTGAGTTGGAGGTTAGTCTCTTTTCTGGGGTTGGACCCTCAATTTCCTCTTTGTTGGACCTCCAAAAGTGGCAGTTTCAATTATCACTGCCAGTCAAATTGCGGCTTTTAAGGGGTCATTTTAGACAGGTGTTTGTAGCTTTTTAGTTGGTGTAGTGGGGGTTCCATTGCAACAACTTGGTAGTTATTAATCGACATTTCACCTTTCGCTTCCCCGAACAAATGATCAACTAATGATAATAATAGTAATATTAATGATAAAATTACACATAATATGAATAATAATGATAATAATGATAATAATGATAATAATGATGATGATGGTACTGTTAATGATAATGATACTGGTAGTAATAATAATAGTAACGATAATAAATAATGATCATAATAATCATGATACACATGATGAGAGCAACCATCATGATAAGCATAAGAATGACGATGACACTAATTATGATGATGATGACGATGACGATGACGATGACGATGACGATGACGATGACGATGACGATGATGATGATGATGATGATGATGATGATGATGATGATGATGATGATGATGATGATGATGATGATGATGATGATGATGATGATGATGATGACGTGATGATGATTTATGATGATGATGATGACGATGACGATGACGATGACGATGATGATGATGATGATGATGATTATTATTATTATTATTATTATTATTATGATGATGATGAGTATAATCATGATAATAACATTTGGCTTTTTCTAAAACACCGGCTGCCAACATTTGACCTTTGGCCGTGCGCCTTTTTGAGGGCTTTTTTTTTGTGTTGCAGGGGGACACACCACGAGTTGAAAACCCACCTGACTCTTTTTTTCTGTTTTTTCCCAACAAGCCTTCAAAAAGCCAACGAGAGCCGCCGCGCAGAACTCCTTTTTAGGGTTGCTCCGAGCTTCCCTCACAAATAAACGAGCGAGCCCGCCCAAGCGAAACGGACGGACGCGCCAAGTCTCCGTCGCGCCGTCCTCAGGCCGCGGCGCTCTACGCCTCCAGCGGCGCCGAAGCCGCCGGCGGTGGAGGCGCCGACGCGAAGAAGTTCGCCTGCGGCGCGGCGGTGAGCACCTGCGAGGCGCTTCGGATCGGCGCTGAGGGTTGTGGAAGGACCCCGAGAAGAAAAGGCCGGTCGTCTCACTGGTTGGGTTCTGTTAATTAAGGGAGTTTCCAATGCTCATTCCCTGCTGATCGCGCCAGCCAGTCATTCGAATTTGATTTGGCTGGCTCAGAAGCAGGTACCAGGTACCGCTGGGGTTTTTAGGACCCGAACACCTGTGGTTTGTTGGGCCCTAGCCATACCCATTTCTGAGGGTCAAAGTGAAGAACTGGAATTTGTGGTTTCTTCACTGTTGTTGGATCGAGTCGTTCGTTTGGGCTGCAGAAAACAAGGGTTTTTGCAAGCCCATATCAAGGGTTGTAAAGGTTTGCCTTTAACCTACCACTTGGGGGAGTGACTTCGATACGGGTAGAATAGTGGGGCCAGCTGTCTGCAAGGTTGACTCGCCATGAGGTTAGACAACCTGGGGTTGACAGGGATGGTCATCCATTTGGTGAGGATACCTTCCCTTTTGGTTGGATTTTAATGTAGAGGTTCGACAACCAAAGCATCCGTAGGTTTCGAGTGTTTTTATTTGGTGAAAGGTGGGGGTTCCATTCAGCCCACAAGTTAAACTTTTAGCAGGGGATCTGAGGAAAACCAAAGCATATCATGGTTGTGTAAAACGGTTGGTTGTTGATTTAGTCAGTATGTTTTAGTTTCCCACGTCTAGCGGGAATGGCGCTAAATTGTACTATAGTGTAAAACTACTCCCATTGCTTGAGAAGGACAGCCCCACACCAAAAACCGCAACCCCCTTCCAGCACCTCCCCAGGACTGCTTTTTGGACAGCACTTGGGTTTGGACATCTCTTTGGATGAGACCTGGGCGCTGGAACGAGACTTTGTGAAAGTGTAACGTCAGCCTCGGATTGCTCCTGAGGACCGTATTGATCGGGGGTGGTTCACACTTTTAAGGAAATGATCAATGTCGCGGAACGCAGCCAAATTGGGTATCGGAACAAAAGAACACATTGTTCAAATCATGGACCCCTAAGGGGGCTACGGGGGGGGGGCAAAGAGAGAAACAGTTCAACTCCGAAAGGTTTCGATGATCCAGTTCACCCTATTCGGCCAAATGAGTTAGACAGTTTGGATATCCTTCAACTTCCCGGTTTAGTGGAGATGATTTCAACAAACACCTGCTCGTAACACCCCTACCCCCAAGCGCCAACCCACCTCCAGTTTTGGCGTATTTGTGTCTTCAGGTCGTGTTTGGGTGGCTTGTTTGGGGTGTCCGCTGGGGGGAACGTGGTGGGGATCTAGAAGAACTCAACAGCAACCACCATTTCTGGTGGGACACCTACCAAGTTTTTAGGGTCGAAAAAGCGACTACTGAAATCTGGGTCAACGTTTGGGACCATCTTTCATCTTTCCCTTGACTAAATTCAGGAATGCATGTATAAAATCATTCCAGAGAGCACAAAACACACGATTCGGGGCATGTGGGCCAAGCAATTGCCAACCAGCCCAGCCCATTAGGCCAACCAACCAACCAACCAACCAACCAACCAACCAACCAACCAACCAACCAACCAACCAACCAACCAACCAACCAACCAACCAACCAACCATGCATCCATCCATCCATCCATCCATCCATCCATCCATCCATCCATCCATCCAACCAACCAACCAACCAACCAACCAACCAACCAACCAACCAACCAACCAACCAACCAACCAACCAACCAACCAACCAACCAACCAACCAACCAACCAACCAACCAACCTCCCAGGTTAGCCCTTCCAGCCCAGGAAAAAAACACAACGGCCACCCACCAACCACTTTAGGTCTTTTGCCTCCGACCTCGGCCTCGGCCTCTCGCAAGGCCTTCGGCGCCTGGCGCGCCGCCCTGGCGCTGCTCACTTCCGCCACCGGAGGATCCGGCGCCGGAGGAGCCGCCGGCAGTTTGGTGGCGGGGAACAGCGCGCTGAGCGCCTGCCAGAAGGCCATGGCGTGGCAGGAGGCGACGGGCGGCTCCTCTCAGCGTCCGGTTTGGTCCGAATAGGACAGGGGTCCACGTTTTGGCCTGGCTCCCCAAGGACATGGACCCAAAGTGGAACCCTGAATGGACTCGTTTCTGGTGTGGCTTCAACAGGAAACCCAAAGGAAACCACGCTGGAGGGGTTTGACATCTTGAGCCCCAAGTTTATATATAATATATATATATATTATATTATTAAATTAACGAAAAAGGGGATACCCTGCCAAAGATAATTCTACGGATGATCAATCCGGGCTCAAGAAATCCGGGCACCGTCAGCGGAGAAAAACAAACAGTTTTCTGTGCGGCAACTCGCCCTTTTGTTTGGGTGGATCTGCCATGTCTTGAATCTGGCTGTGAGGCAATGGCGGCATTTTTTTTGTTGATACTGTGGACGGTTGCAAAATCCATAAACCGCACCACGAAATGAAACCATGGTTGAAACCGCTGTTTGTTGGTATTTACGTTGGTGAATCATCAGAAACCAGGGTTTCTTAGGTGGTGCAGGATTTCGTCCATCCAAGGTAGGTTGCGCTATCCGAGACCGCGCCGCGAAAGGAGTTACCACGGCAATGAAACCATAGCGTTTCTTAATGTATTTTCGGGAGACGCCTAACGCCGTTGTTTCTGGGGCTGTGTGGTTGTCCCCCTTTTGTGCACGCAGCAACGCCACTGAGCCAGGCAGACTCGAAAAGGAGAAAAGCTCAGTTGTTCAGTGGCTCCAATTATTTTTTCCTTTTTTTTGGTTGCTGCCCCACTAAAATGGTCGCTGCCCCACTAAAATGGTCCAAGCCCAAAAAAAGGGTTCCCTTTTTTTTCTCCAGTTTGAGGCCCTGGCCTTGCTCCGCGGCTTCGCAGACTTGAAGTTGCGGGCGGACGTGATCTCCTACAATGCGGTGGTCGCTTGGGTGGTTCGTGAATGGTAGTAAGGGGTTACGTGGTTGGTGGGTGGTTGCTTGGGTTTGTCTGACTTGAATCGGCATTCTGGCTTGTGCCGTTTTCATGGCTGGTCTGTTCTGGAGAGATCTTTGGAGACAATGGCTTTTCCAGCTTGAAGCACTCCGGTTTAAGGGTGCCTTTGTTGGGGTTGGTTGGGAAAATCCAAGGGAACCGCCATGGATAGTTTTTCCGTGTGGGTACTCTAGGTACCACAGCCCAACTTACGGAGGCAGCCAGCTAAGGGCATATTATTTCGGGGGCGTCGACTCCATGACTCAACGGACATATGTTTTTGGAAACTGATCCCGGGCCACCTGTGGCCCTTTCTGGTTTCAGTCGGGCTGGACCTGGGTTCTGCAGGTTTCATTGTGTTTGTATTGATGTACCATTGGGTGCGTCTTTGAAAGGGTCCCCTTTTGGTTGGGGTTCATGGGACAACAGAAGGAACTCAACCATTTTTGGGAGCTCCCTAACAAGAGACTACCCATTTTGATTTGCCTTCCAACGGGGCGCCAAAATTTGCAAATGGATGCCTCCCCGCTTCTCAACATCATTTCGTCGCTCTGCCCGCGGAGTCATTCCTGAATGAGTCAGAGCTGAGGTCAGCGCGTGCCAAGGGGAGTGGAGGCAGGCGCTGAGATTGTTGCTTTGGCGCATTTTGCCAAGGGATGTTAGGACTTTAACTTTTTTTTTTTGCCAACTAATGGGTTTTCCATTAAGCCGCTAAAAGATAAGCTTGTTTGCAGGGGAGCAGAAAGCAACCGAGGTTGGAGGAGCTTCAAAGTGTTCATCTCTCACCCGGAGTGGTCACCTACAATGCGATGATCACCGCGTGCGAGAAGCGCGGCTGGCGCAAGGCGCTCGCATCGCTCCATCAGGCGGATGTGGAAAGGTTGCCGTGGGTTTTTCAGGGTGAACCGTTAGGCTTGAATTTTGTTCCTTTGGTTTCCCTCTGCATTTCTTTTCATGTCCATTTTACTTCGGTTTCCCTTTGGTTTCCCTTTGGTTTCCCTTTGGTTTCCCTTTGGTTTCCCTTTGGTTTCCCTTTGGTTTCCCTTTGGTTTCCCTTTGGTTTTCCTCAGATCTCCCTTTTCTTCCCGGCTTTCCTCAGGTTTCCCTCTAGTTTTTGTTTTTTGTTTTTGTTTTTAACGTTTGGTTTCTGATACCCTTTGGTCTCTGTCTGGTTTGCCTTTGGCTTTCCTCTGGTTTTCCTCTGGTTTTCCTTTGTGTTTTTTTGGTTCCCAGCGTTCCTTTGGTTTCCCTTTGGTATTTGTTTGTTTTCCCGGTTGAACCAACCCTCAAAAGGGTTCCCTCAACAACAGAGACGCCCACGTGACCTTTGCAAGGGTTCTCAAGCACTGGGAAAGAGGATCCAAGACATCCCTTTCAGGTTCTGAAGCACCAAAGCCCTCTTTGACTTGTCTTCCAAGTATCGACTTGCATTCCAAAGCTTCTTTGACTTTACATTCCATATATATATATAGATGTATGTATACATATATATATATGTATGTATATTCACATACAAAGAGATATATATATATATATATGTAGATATACAAACATATATATATATATGTATACATTCTATCCCTTCCACCCCAGATGGAGTTGAAGAGTGTGCAGCCGGACGCCTTCTCCACCTCCGCCTCGATCAACGCCTGCGGCCTCAGCGCCGCCTGGCGCGCGGCCCTCGCGGCGACGAGGGCCGTGGGGCCTTCGCCGCCGCTGGCGGCGCGCACGGCCTGCGCCGGCGCCCTCGGGGCGCGGAGGATGTGGCGCCGGGCCCTGGGGCTGAAAGAGGCGACCAACGGAACTGGGAAGAGGAGCCCATTGGTGACATAGAATTCTCCATAGCTGGTAGGGGGATCGTTCAAAAACCTTCTTTCTTCGGGGGGAAAAACAACTTCAAAAAGCTGCAAAGACCTTCAAAAACCTCTACCTGAAAGTGCCCTTGATATTTGGATCGTTCGCTAGCTGGTAGGATCCTCAAAATCCAACACGTTCCGGACAAGACAAGGCCTAACACTATGTGAGAACATCAGAACATCTGCAAGTGGTCTTTGTTTCGCTGGACATTTTTCTGGGGCCTAGTGATGCTCTTAGATCCTGACTTCACATGGTAAGTGGGGTACACTGCCTCAGTCAGCCGGAAGCTCCCTGAATTGGCCTTCATGGAGCCAAGTCTTCACATTTCGGGTTGGGAGCTTCCATGGAATCGCCTGGGGGATAGCTGGTGGTTGGAAGGGAGCCGCTCCTTCTTCTTTCCTCTGATTTGTTCTTGGGGGCGGGGGGGTTACCTGAAAAAAAAGCAAAAACAGCAACAGCGAGCCGCGCATACGCTCGCTGCCAGGGCGTTGCCTCGGCGCGGCTGGGCAACTCGCTGCTGCTGGCCTGCAGCGGGGCCCTGCAGTGGCGCCAGGCCCTCGCCATCGGCGCCGACGAAGAAGATCCGTCGGAGCTGGGGACACTGGCGGCCACCGCCCGGGCGCTGGCGGCCGGAGGCCGGGAGAATCTGCGGGACCCAAAAAAGCAAGAGGGGGGAAGTTGGACCCCGAAATAGAGATGGGTCTGTCTTCTGTTGAGAGTAATTACCCTTCTTGTTTTTTTTTTTTTATGAATGGGGGAAACCCAAAGGAGACCCTTTGGACATTCAGAAGGGACATTGCAAGGAACACAGCATCTTAATTAGCAAGGCCCCGATTTTGAGACCCCCCCCCTGCCGTGCCTTTCATTTCATGCCCTCTTTGTGGTAGAGGGAAACCAAACCAAACGGAAATTCAAAAAAACAACCCTTCTTTCTTTTTGGCAGAGGGAACCCGCACCAAAGGGAAGACAAAAAACCGCGAAGATCTGATGGTAAGGGAAGCCTTGAAAGTGGAGCCTGCGGAGGGGGGATCTCCAGTCGAGTTGGGATCGCTTCCATGGGAAAGTTTTCGCCCCTCAGACGTTCCGCTCGGCCGAAAGAATGGGAACCGCCCGGAGAAAATGCGCCCAGGAACTCGGAAGTAAAGGATGGATGAAGAGAATGATCCCCGTAGAAACATGGGGGTTTAGAAATCTGCGATTTGGGTGTGGGCCCAAAATAGGGTAACCCCAAAATGGGTTGCCCTAATAGATGGAAATATGGGTTCTAATACCCGCGGCTTAATTCCTGGCGGTATAGAACTTTGGCCCATACCCCATACGGATCCAGATCCTGCTTGATCGGTTTAGAAGTTTTTGGTTGGTTGAGTGGTTTGGGTTGTTTTTTTTTTTTTTTAATTGGCTTAGTAGTTTCTTTTTTGGCTTAGTACTTGGTTTTTCGTTGGTTTTAGTTCCCGTGTCCACAATCCCTATTTCAGAGAGGTGCCGGGGAGCTGCAGCAGAGCCTGGCTGAGCTGCAGGGCATGGCAGCTGCCCTGCTCGAAACGAGAATTCATTGACCTGCGACGCCTCTTTTTTCTTTTCTCTCCAGCGGACCTCCAGGGTTTCTGGCGTCCAACATTTTTTTGTTTCCTTTTTTTGGGGAGGGGATCAACCTTGACGTGTGTGTTCATTTTTGGAGGGGCTTATCTTTACTTGGTGTCGCCATCCGGTTTGGCTTTTTAGATCTTTTTAGTTGGTTTAGTGGTTGGGTTTAGTAAGGGATCTGAGGACAGCCCAGTTTAAAGTCTCCTGTGGAGTTCACTTTTTTTTGGAGGGGCTTATCTTCAAAGTCTAGTGTTGTATTCTGGATTCCCGTTCGAAATCAAGCACCCTTGTTTTTGTCCCGTGGCTGCTGGAGGTCTGGGTAAGCCTGGATGGATCGGGGGGTTCCTCCGAACGTGGAGGTGTGCCTCGAACATGAGACACCCCTCAGATTGATCTGGGGCTTGAACAGGCTGGCGCGATCTCGGGCGCAAGTGGACTTTCTGCAACCGGTTTCAACGGGTGCACCCGTGTCACAGGTGACATCTTTGCCGCCCGTGGTGAAAATGTTTCAAGATGGTGTGTATGTGGCTCGCTTGACATCATACCCTGAAACAAGCGCGTATTGGGTGAGTCAGGGGTTAACACCGAATGGGGACCTTTGTTTTGCGTCCCAACGTCGGCGCTTTGGGCGAAAACCCGCGCATGTCCCCACACCTGCTCGGAATACCTGCCTTGTTTAGGACAAACGCATACTTTTTTGGTCAGGCTCAACAAATCATACCCTACCATCTGCAAAAAGCCCAGGTACTGGGTGATACTGTGCATGGACAAAATCCTCACCACAAATCCATGGTTAAAACTATTGTTGGATGGTATTTACAGGGGAAATCATCAGAAGCCAGGGCTTCTGAACGGTGGTGCGTTTTATGGATTTCGCAACCACCCTAGGGGCGGGTTAAGCCGGGGGAGCAGCTGCTTCGATCGTTCCAGGGATCGAGGGCTACCAGATGCGAGCCGGGGACAAGCTGATGCTCCGGGAGAGCTGCAACGAGGCGCGCGCGGCCGGTCGATGTCGAAGCTGGTGGCGTTTTTTTTTGATGGTAGTCGGAAAAAGCGACATAAAAAGCCAGGGATCGCCAGGGATCGCATTTGTTTCCGGTTTTGCAAGCAGCCAGAAGATTGCCAACGAATTGGAGTGGGGTTGTGGGACACTTGAAAACCAAAGCCACTCACGATAACTTGGAAAATTGCCCCGAGAAATTTTCAATGAACTGATTATCATCCAAGAGGTGGACGAACCGGAGGTTGTTAAGCTCGTGGGAAGGCCAACTCTAGTGACTCCAGTTCGACAAATTCAAGGGCCAGTTTAGCAGGTGGTTTTTTCGGTTGCTGTTTTTTTTTTTCTTCTTTCCGATGGGGATTTTGGTCACGCCCATATTGGAGTTTCTCAAAATGGTGGACCCCTTGTGGTGGGGAAATCCAAAAGGACACCAAGCATTGAAGGGTCCCGCGATTTTAAGACATGTAAACCACGACCCTTTACTCACATGCGCAGATAAACCCAGAGCAAAACTTCAGGGTTGAGCGACTCCTTTGTGTTCCATGGTGTGGTTCAAGATGGGCGCGTCTTTTCGGGAAATCCTCCCCCAGAAATTATAAATAAACAAATAGCTAACTAGATAAATACTGTACATAAATCAATAAATCAAGAACTAAATGAATAGATACATCAATAAGTAAATGAATGGATAAATCAACAAATAAATTCACTAAACAGATAATCAAATACATAATGATGATAAAATAACACAAGCAATGATGGTGCTCTTGGTAGAGAATGACCTAGTCAGGGAGTCAGGGTGTTGGGAATGAGCCAGAAGGAGATTCATTCCCTTACAAAAAACACAGGGGACGGTTTATAGGGGGCATTCCCCCATTCTCTGCTGGGAATCAGAAAGAACATAAGGTGGTCTTCCTTTTGGTTTCCCTTTAACAAGAAAGGGTACCAACAAAAACAAACCGACGAGCCCATACGATTGGTCAATCAAGTTGGCCGCAATTTGCCCATGGCCCCTTCGGGGGGAAAAACACACACACACACACAAAGAACGCCTGTCTCAAAACACGGGGGGTGCCCCAGTCGCGTCCTTTCGCATGTCTTGAGCAAACCTGAAAGCCCAGGCTGGCAAACGGCTCAACCAGGTTCAGAAAGCCTTCCGCCCTTTTCATTGGCTCCGTAACGGCTCCCGAACCCCTAGCTCGTGAAAAGGGAAGCCAAAAGGAAAACCACCTGCCTCTTTATTATTTATTTATTTTATTTTATTTTTGGGGGGGAGCCGTGAAAAGGGTACTTTGGTGTTTTTTCCGATTCACCAAATCTGGCAGCCTGGGCCATAACCCACTTATAAATCCCCCGTTCAGTGGGGTTAACCTTGTAATGTGGGGGGTTACCCCAAATGGCGAAACACTTGCTAACCTGGACGAACATGCGAGCAGGGTTTGGGTAGACTTGTTCAAGATTTGGATTGGGACGACCTAAACGAGCAAAGGGTACTCGACAAACCGCATCCGTTTGACCTCCCACAAGGGTGCTTCAGTCTGTTGGCATCGTAAGACCAGCTGGAAACCAGAGCTCCCGATCCCATGTTTCTTGCGCTGCCCTTCTTTGGTACTTGAAGGAGAACCAAACACCATTGGGGGGGTTGAAACCATTAGGCCTCTCGCCGCGGGAAGATGTGAGGGCTTTGAACAAGCCGGGTCTAATGCTGACACTTGATTAATAAACCCACCAATTGTTACAGCGGGGCCTTTCTTCCAGGGAGGAAGGGGCCTTTCTGAGTAGTTTTTCTGAATTGATGGGTCTGTCTTTCTTCTGGTTGGACCACCCAAAATGGGCGGTTTTCTCCCGGCCATCCCCTTAGCTTTTTAGACTTTTAGTGTGTAGTGGGGGTTTCCATTTGACCCACTAATCTTTAAACTTTTAGCAGGGGATTTGAGCAGCCCAGGGTGAACATCAAAAAAAGGGCAGACCCAAAATAAGCTTGGTTACGCCGAGATCCACCTTGGGACGGGCCTGGCGCTTCTGTCGAACTCGGCCGAAGCTCCGCAGCTCCGCAGACGGCGACGAGTTACACGGAGATCTCGCGACCCAGCCCAGACCCGGCGCAGGGGCAGGGCGGTACCTACGTCTTCGAGCCCTGGAGGCATCCACTTGGGTGTTTGGTTTTGATGGTCGTAGGCAAGGGTATGGAGCAACGTTCCACTTTGCTTTTAGGGGCTGGTGTTCCACTTTGTTTTTTCCCCAAATAGTGTTTACACTATGGGGTTCTTACGGTAAGAGTTAAGGCCGGTTTAGATCGAGGATCGCGCTAGGTTCGCGCTAGATTCGCGTGGCCCTGAGCGTACAATGTTGTTTTCGGTGCGACAGTCTCGCACGAAATGGAGGTTCGCGCTGGCACGTGCGTCTCGCTGTGGTGCCGTTCACAATTGCTTCTTTTTTTGGCTGGCAGGGCCACAGTTGGGAGGTTCGCGCGATGAACTTTTGATGAAACCGCTGCAACGCTTGCAAGTTGCGATTTTCGAGCTTAAAAATTGAAGTTGCGATGTTCGAGCTGGAGCTGCGAGAGCGCGCTTCGCGCGCTACCTTTGCGCGAAAACAGTTACGGCTTTGCAGCCGGAGCGGGAGCTGCTGCGGGAACGTACTTCGCGTACAACTTTGGCTGGAGCCATGGGAGCGCACTTCGCAGTTAAAAGTTGCGATTTTGCAGCCGGCGCTCTCTGAAAGCTCTTCGCGTACTTTGGTACTTAAAACTGCGGGAGCGCGCTTCTCACACTACTTTTTGTACTTACAATTTGCAAATGTCGCGCCGCTGCGGAAGCGCACTGCGTGTACCAACGCGCGATCGTGAAAGCAGACGCGCGAACCACGAGACAACTTCCAAACACCGATTTGCAAGCAAAGAAAACAGGAAAATCGAACGGCGTCGCAGCGAGAGCGCTTCGACACGCAGGATCTCCGCAGAGGGTTCGCCGAGAGCAAGACGCATTTGCACGGCGCCACGCAGGATCTCCGCAGAGGGTTCGCCGAGCTCAAGACAAATTCGCACGGTGCCACAGCGAGAGCGCTTCGACACGCACAATCTCCGCAGAGGGTTCGCCGAGAGCAAGACAAATTCGCACGGCGCCGCACAATCTCCGCAGATAATTCGCCGAGCTCAAGACAAATTCGCACGGCGCCACAGCGAGAGCGCTTCGACACGCACAATCTCCGCAGAGGGTTCGCCGAGAGCAAGACAAATTCGCACTGCGCCACAGCGAGAGCGCTTCGACACGCAATCTCCGCAGAGGGTTCGCCGAGCTCAAGACAAATTCACACGGCGCCGCAGCGAGAGCGCTTCGACACGCAGGATCTCCGCAGAGGGTTCGCCGAGAGCAAGGCGAATTCGCACTGCGCCACAGCGAGAGCGCTTCGGCACGCACGATCTCCGCAAAGGGTTCACTTTCGTCTCGCAACGCTTGCGAATGAGTGAAACGCTGCGCCTGCCACGAAATTCGCACACCCTTTTTATGAAAGTGCTGCGCCTGCCACGCATCCTTTAGCGTCCTTAGCGTCAGCGCAAAACATACTGCGCCCGCATGACAGTCTCACAGAATGCTGCGCTGGCCAAAAATCTGCGCGGCGCCACAGCGAGAGCGCAGTTTTGAAGAACGGTTCGTTTCGTCTGAAGCTCTCGCCCTCAAGACAACTTTTTGCGACAAGCATGGTTTTAGAGCTCCGATTGTCCCAGCGTCGTAACCTGGCCCGACAAGAAGATATCACCGCGTGGCGGCCCTGCCAAGTACACTTCTGCAACTAAAACCGCCAGCCTTCTTGCGCAGCCAAAGCTGCACGCAGATATGGACAACAGAGGTTGACAAGACAAAGGGCATCAAAGGTTGGGTGAGAGAGGTTGCACAGCATCATGCGCGAGAGGGACCGTCACGCATAGCATCATGCGCAGCATCATGCACGGCGTCGCGCGCATCGTCACGCGCAGCATCATGCCTTCGCAGCATCATGCGCAACATCACGCGTAGCTTCACGCGCAGCAGCGTCAAAGCACAGCGTAGCGCGCA